TAAGGCAGGTACATATATACCTGTATGTATTAACATTATTTACCTGTATGTCAGGTACATAATTTAATGTGGGTGCTTGTCTGATCGATTTGTATAATATGTGAGTCTTTACTTTTTATTGATTAAATTGTATTTTATCCATATATTAGGAATATTATCAAGGGTCTGCCCAATATCTCTTCAGATCATGCAAGACCCTGTGACGGCCATTACCGGCATCACATATGACCGGTACAGCATCGAGCACTGGCTTTTCCAGAGCAAGAACACCACATGCCCCGTCACTAAACAGCCTCTCCCAAGAGACTCAGAATTAACTCCTAACCACACCTTACGCCGCTTAATTCAGGCTTGGTGCACTGACAATGCGTCTCATGGCATTGATCGAATACCAACCCCGAAACCGCCTCTGGATAAGGCTCAAGTCCTTAAGCTCCTCAAGGACTTCTGGAACCCTAAGCTCCAACTGAAAATCATTCGAAAAATCGAGTTCCTCGCGACCGAAAGTGAAGGGAATAGGAAGTACTTGGTTGACGCTGGGGTAGCTAAGGCCATCTTGTTGTTCATCGCAAACAGGTGTTATAAGGAAGGTCTGGTTGATGGCCTTGAAGAAGCCCTTAGCATACTTCACTTTGTTCGGATTTCATCCGAAGAACTAAGTCTTCTTTTCATGGAAAACGATCAGATTATCGATTCGTTGACGTGGGTTTTTGGTTGCAAATTGCAGAATCAAATCGCGGTGAGCACACATGCAGTCTTGGTACTAAAATCGATGATCCAAAAGGCACACTCAAGTGTGCTAGAAACTCTGAACCCTGATTTCTTCAAGAAACTTGTTGGGGTTTTGAGAAACGGAATTACGCAACAAGGGACAAACGCAGCTCTACATATCATGTTAGACGCTTGTCCATGGGGAAGAAACCGAGTCAAGATGGTCGACGCCGGGGCGGTTTACGAGCTCATTGAGCTTGAGTTTGAAGCACCTGAAAAGAAAACCACAGAGCTCATTTTGGGAATATTGTTTCACATGTGTTCTTGTTTTGATGGGTGGGCTCAGTTTCTGAGCCACAAAGGAGGCATCTGTGTTGTGTCGAAGAGACTTGAATTCCTAAAACTGGTAAGTTATTGATTTGTAGGATATTAATTATCATATTTGATTTGAATTTAATTGCAAATCTATTTATTGAATTCTGAAATTTTCCCAAGGTATACCGACATCAAAATTTGTAATAAGAGTTCATAAAAACTTCATACCTTAACAATAGGTAAGGTACCTATGCATACACCTCGTATGCAGTATGCAAGTAATTAAACCCATAAATTACCTCTGGTCTAGGTAATTAAATCCACAAATTACCTCTAGTCTAGGTAGTTATACCCTCTAACCCAGCTAATTGAACTCATATAATATCTTGGTATGGACCTTTAAACTCAACTGAGATAAAAATCCATACAAAATTTCTTTGGAAAGAAAAAAAAAACACTATTACATGGAAGACATGTACATATGTATATAAATATGAACCTCCAGAAAAAATTGCTTAAGAAAACTCAAGAAAAAAAACACTTACCTGTAAGGCAGGTACATATATACCTGTATGTATTAACATTATTTACCTGTATGTCAGGTACATAATTTAATGTGGGTGCTTGTCTGATCGATTTGTATAATATGTGAGTCTTTACTTTTTATTGATTAAATTGTATTTTATCCATATATTAGGAATATTATCAAGGGAAAAAAATTCAAAATTCAAAATTTGGAATTCAATTTCAAGGAAATAATGCATTAAATTTAAATTTTCAATGTGTTTTCCTTATTTACCTTAAAGGGTAAAATCGACACAACAAAAAAGTAATAAATGTCAAAGGACCTACATCTAAAACCAAAAACATGAGGACTAGACCCAATGACAGCTAATCGTTTTGGACCTAGATCTAAGAACCCCTTGTTTTTAAACCCACTTGCCCTATATCAAGAATGTACCCAATCGTGGACCTTATATTTTCACAATTTGAATCACAATCGTGGACCTTACATTATTTTCCTAGGATTCATATATGGGAGGCCTTGAAATCAAAGAATTTAGTTAATAACATATAGTTTAAATTATTTGATTATCCTAATACTATTACATATGCGAATATGTAAAGTTGAACTATCACTAGATCAAGAGTTAGTGGGTAAAGAAAGATATTACTTGTACAATAAAATCATCCTCTACTCCAATGTGCATTTTTTTATGTGTAGCATATCGGTATTGAGAGTGAAAAAAAAAAAAGTGTAGCATATCAGTATTGAGAGTGAAAAAATAAACACATTTTTTTTAGTTTTATAATCATTTAAATGAGTTTTTAAAATAGTGATTAGGATCTCGTACGGAGTCACCACTTTGGCCAACACTTTACCCCTTACGGGCCGACCCGGTGTGAGTGGGGATTAGTCTGGGTTGTGGTTAAGGCTTAAAGGTGCCACCCATAGTTGGGGCCCATCCAGGACCACCTCAGGGTTTAGACAAAAAAAAATAGTGATTAGGACTTTTTGAAACGATTTATGCATTTTATAAATTTGTTTCAAAACTATAACTCCATAAGAACTATAAACTTTCGAAGAACATGACTCTTGACCGGCATTTCTCTTCACAACAGAAGATGACTCAAGTTTAGATCCTCCTCCCTTAGTGATAACATATGGCATGATTATAGCTCAAGTAATTAAGAACATTTATGTATTCATTTTCCTCCCATTATTGTTTGTATGAAAAACACTTCTCTAAAAAATTTAATGTATTAAGGAGATTTAGCATCTGTAATTTCTTAAACCTCTCAAAGGTTCTTTTTGCAATTTACTAAAGAACCATCATACATTCATACAATTGAAGGGCCTAATTATTAGTGGTCATATTAGAGGTCGTAAATTCAAATATAAAAATATCTAAATGGTGTAGTTCATTAAAAAATTGGTATATTTATTTGTAAGAATGTTGTTGAGGTTTCCAAATCATGGATAGCACATTTGAATCAACGGTTGACTCAATTAAAGAAATTGCTTTGTCTAGAAGCCTAGCTAGTAATATTTCTCTTCCCAGCGTTGAAAGATGTTCCCAGTTGGATGAAGAAAAAAAAAAAAAAAACTTGGAACTTTCGCAAACCTTTTGATAGGCTCTTTTTCGGGCCAGAGGCCTTTTGATGATCTCTTTTTTGGGCCTTGGCCATTTTGATTACATGCTTTGTTTAAAAAGTCTAGATTTCTGCAACTACCAAAAAACTAAAATTTATGAGAATGCTGCTAACAGCAAGAGTTGAAAGATCAGCAAGGATTTTTTTGTCTTTTAAAAAAAATAATCTGAACAATCAAAGGTTCTACAAGCAGAAGAACACAGGGTACTACAAGGTGTTATCTGTTTGACGAAGAGGATACAACAAACTGTTGATTTTGTCCAGTTCTAGAGATTTGTTGTTTTAAAGAGAAGAAATGAGACTAAATAAATTATTAAAAAGAAAAGAATTTGGTCCAGTTCTTGCACCATTATTTTATGATTTGTTTGCGCAGTCAATGATTTTCTCATTTCAGGTTATGATTTGTTTGATTTTGTCCATTCCAGGGTATAAAAGTCGAATAATTTATTAGTTGTTGATTAGATATATAATTTGACTAATTAAAACCTTTCACTGTTATGCTTTGACCATTAATGTAGTATATTAATCTGGATTGTGAGACTTACCAGTTATTGGCTCTTGCATCATAATTATAACCACTTTTGAATGTTCAAAGTAGCAGCTTCATTCAAAGTGAATTTTGATGGGCTGCACGTGAAAATACAATGGCATGGTTTTCATGAGGCCATCCTAGATGCACTTCTTTTCTCCAATTTTTTTAAATGTTCTTTTGTATGTCATATTGATTGTTACTGAGTAATAAAGATTTTTTCTTTCGAAAAAAAAGGTGTTGTTACTTTTGATCCTCTGAGTAGTTTTTTTTTTTTTTATGCGATGTTATTGTGAATATTTATACATGCTCAAATTATCATGGTTTTTTTTTATAGAAAAGATAGTATGTCATTAAATCCAAAGGAAACATTACATTGTTAGAATTAGCATGTTAACAGTGGTTTCGTTAAAACATTCTTAGAGAAAACCCTGGGGTAGGATAGAGTACCACCCGTGCGATTGACTAAACAGAAGAGTCAAATAACTTATACGAAACTGACCAAGCCCACGAGAAATTTCCGAGATAGCCGCAGATAATTGCACGCGGAGTAGAAGATCCAAACTATAGAGAAGAGACCTCATGAGACGACTGAAAGTAACAAGAAGAAAACCAGAGATCGTCTACAAATTCGAAGATACTACTGCACAAACCCTAACGGCTGCCGCAGGACCAAGAAGTAAACCCTAGACGTTTTTACTCTCCTCGCAGGTAGCAAGAGAGCGACCCATTACCAAATTGCTTAAAGAATTCTCAAATTATCAAGTTAACAGTTATGTTTTACGAGACACTGGATAAAAAAACAAAAGACTGTATTTGGGGTATGACAAATTAAACGGGGCGCAAAGATCCTAACTCATAAGCACAATATCAGAAGCATTATATAAGGTCAAAACCAAATATAATTTAGTTTTTTTTTATACCTTTGTTTTCATTGGAGTCTATTATTATTATTATTATTATTATTATTATTGAAGAATTGTAAGTTACACAAGATGCATAACTTTCATTCATCTGGAAAGTCAACTGAATACCAGCCAAAGAGGATTTCAATGCATGCATGCATGCATGCCTTAAATGTCACGTCCAATGGAGAAACTACAGTCACGGCGGTGGTGGGCTGTAGCCTGTACCCCAGGAAAGCTTTGAAGAAAAAAGTATTACTTTTATCTATATGGCCCACCAAGTTTGCTGCCTTTTACTTTGATCCAATTCTTCAATTAAACTGACCGAATCATGCAATTGCTTAGCAGCCTTGGTTTTGTTTTTTCCCCTTCGAAGCATGCACCCTTTCGTTTTGTTTTTTTTTATAGGCAAAGTCAATAATCGTTTTTTCCCCCAAAATAAAAAGGAAAAGCTTCTTAATATTGTACTCAATAGGAACCCTTACAAGTCGTTTAACCCATAATTACAGCACAAGAGGGAAGATGCTTTTAAAAACGGAACAGTAACCTAATTATATTCTTCTTGTGTTCACAACTAATATGTGAAACTTAATTATTTATATTTCTTCACTTTGCATTCGTCTTATTCGGTTGATGCCAAAAAAGAAGAAACTTGAATAAGTACACTTTCAATTATATTGTTGAACACGTTAATTCTTGATAATGTGTATTTTTTTGTTACATTTAATATGTATTTGTCTTATAAAATTTATTGAAAATTAGTCAATGGAAAAAAAGAAAAAGATCATTAGAGTTTAAGCTAAAAAATTTAGCTTGCCCACCCATTGAAAATTCATGATTCCGCCCTTAATCACGTCGTAAAAAGTCAACAAATGCTAACATGCAAAATATTACACCAATAGATGGAATTGAACAGAAGAAGATTCAAGATTTGGGGTCATGTATATGCAATTTCTTTTATTACTTTCATCAAAATGGCTCTATCCCGGACATATACAAAATTTTCTTATTTTTCCTATCTCATCCACAAGTACAACTAAATCATCATCAATTAGTCAATTAGAGGCAGAAACCAAGATAATGACCCCCTCTTCAATCCAATACAAAGATGCGTACAATCACATCATCAGGGGCAGCCAGCCAGAGCCAGACATCATATTAGTTGCGGGTAATGAGGTATTCAAAACACTGACTTTTCGTAATTTGGACAATGAATAGAATACGTCCTAAGACATGCAACCAGCAAATACACCAATCAAAGTCGGCGATGATTGTTTGAAATTCAAAGTCGCCTCCCATGTGATACATAATTACCCACTTACTCTTCAGTCGATGATGTACTGATACATCATACATCTAGCTACCTTATACGACCCGCTCACGTGTAGCGCTGGCAATAGCTTATAAGGTTGACTTTTGAATATATTCAAACTCCTCTCTTGGCTGAAAAATGATAACTTGCTTCACGGAAAATAGTTGGTAGAAAATTATAGCCAAATGTACTTTTCATTTCTT